TTCCTAGTTACCTTCTCATGTAATCATTATATCTTCTAAAATAAGGTAAGTAATATTGTCCACATTCCACAGGTAAAGAACCAAGGTCACACACTTTGTAATGGCAGAGTCAGGGTTTGAATAAAGAACTATTGGCTCAAAAGTCCATTCTTTTTCCTTTGTATAGACTAAAGAATACAAATCTTATGCAGTTGCATTCATGAGACACATACTATTTTCACATTCATCTTAGGGTTCCATAAGTCTTTGAAGTAATCACTTTTAATGGCTGAATAAGTGTTGATATATCATAATTTAATGAACCATTCTCTGGACTGTTTTCAATTTATAATTATTATTGGCAATGTTGCAGAGAATGCCTTATTGCTAGCTTACTGCTGTCAGCTGTCTTCCCCCCAAATGGCTGAATCTTAGCACATACCCCCATCCTTTTCCCCATACACATAAACAGAAACTTTCTGTAGCTGCCCACCACTAAAATGTTTTAATTAAAATAAAATTTAAAAACCACACTCTGAACTCCAAAAGCTCTCACAGTTGGGCCTCAAATTATAATTTTGGGTTCACCTTGCATTGCATCAGTCCTCATTTTGGTTTACTAATGCCCTATCTTTCACAATATATTGGTTTTACACATCTTTCACAATTTATTGGTTTTACACATCTCTCAAAGTCCAATCCCTTATATACCAGCTTTTCCATGAAGCTTATACACCCATTTTTATAGTCAGAGTTAACAGTCCTCAACAATATTTCCCTCCATCCGTAAATATTCTATTGTCCCTTAAATTAACTGCTGATGATTGTTTCTTATACTGGATAATAGGTTCCTGAAGGCAAGATTCACGTTGGTAATGTTCCCTAAAAAATATAAACCACACTAGGGAGTAACGGCTGAAGGTAAGGAATCAGCATGGGGTGTAAGAAAACAATTTAAGTGATTCATTTTCAGAAATAATTCAGGCCCAGCCTGAAAGTTGTGTGACTAGTTCAGCCCATGCCTGGGGGGTCCCTGAATATAATAAAGACAAAGTTCTCCTTGACATGCTAATGAGTTACTAGCCCTTAATTGTTTACTTCAAATGGATAAAGTTGTCCTTGAGATGGTAATGAGTTAATAGCCCTTTATTGTTCTCTTCATTTCCTAATGTTTCTCCTTTCACAGGGTTTTGGGTGGGCCTTTTTCATGGGCT